CCCGCCACCGCCCCTGCCGGGCGCTCAGGCCCCATCTGGGTCCCGCGCAGGGGCTCCATGCACTGCGCCCCCCATATGGGCTCCATGCACCCCCCATAGGGGCTCCATACATCGTCCCCCCCATAGGGACTCCATGCACCCACCCTATGGGGACTCCATACATCACCCTCCTATAGGGGCTCTTCGCACCCACCCTATGGGAGCTCCATACATCACCCTCCCTTAGGGGCACCGTGCACCCACCTATGGGGCCTCCATGCATCACCCTCCCATATGTGCTCCATGCACCCCCCCATAGGGGCTCCATACATCACCCTCCGATAGGGGCTCCATGCACCCACCTATGGGGGCTCCATACATCGCCCTCCCATGGCAGCTCTTTGCACCCACCCTATGGGGGCTCCATACATCACCCTCCTATAGGGGCTCTTCGCACCCACCCTATGGGAGCTCCATACATCGCCCTCCCATAGGGGCTCCCTGCATCGACCCTATAGGGACTCCATACATCACCCTCCCATATGGGCTCCATGCACCCACCCCATAGGGGCTCCATACATCGCCCTCCCATAGGGGCTCCACACACCCACCGTGTGGGGGCTCCATGCACCCACCCAATGGGAGCTCCATACATCACTCTCCCTTAGGGGCACCGTGCACCCACCTATGGGGCCTCCGTACATCGCCCTCCTATAGGGGCTCCAGACATCGCTCTCCCATAGGGGCTCCACACACCTACCCTATGGGGGCTCCATGCACCCACCCCACAGGGGCTCCATACATCACCCTCCCATAGGGGCTCTGTGTGCCCACCCCATGGGTGCTCCATACATCGCCCTCCCATATGGGCTCCATGCACCCCCCATAGGGGCTCCATACATCACCCTCCCATAGGGGCTCCCTGCACCCACCTATGGGGGCTCCATACATCGCCCTCCCATGGCAGCTCTTTGCACCTACCCTATGGGGGCTCCATACATCGCCCTCCCATAGGGGCTCCCTGCATCGACCCTATAGGGACTCCATACATCACCCTCCCATATGGGCTCCATGCACCCACCCCATAGGGGCTCCATACATCGCCCTCCCATAGGGGCTCCACACACCCACCGTGTGGGGGCTCCATGCACCCACCCAATGGGAGCTCCATACATCACTCTCCCTTAGGGGCACCGTGCACCCACCTATGGGGCCTCCGTACATCGCCCTCCTATAGGGGCTCCAGACATCGCTCTCCCATAGGGGCTCCACACACCTACCCTATGGGGGCTCCATGCACCCACCCCACAGGGGCTCCATACATCACCCACCCATAGGGGCTCTGTGTGCCCACCCCATGGGTGCTCCATACATCGCCCTCCCATATGGGCTCCATGCACCCCCCATAGGGGCTCCATACATCACCCTCCCCTAGGGCCTCCCTGCACCGACCCCCCCCGCGGGCACGCGCGGCACCACGTGAC